CTTCCTATTTCTGTAGCCTCAGTAAGTGCTTTCTCCTGGGAGATACATGGAGCTAATCCTCAAATAAGAGGAAGGTGGAAAATGCAACAGATTTAACAATCAAGTTTAAGGGTGACTGAACTGCAGGTCACATCTGGAGAGGACAATGCGAGAATGAAGATGCGAACTTGAATTTTTTCCCCAAATAGAGATAAATCCACATTGATCCAATTTGTCCCTCTTTCTCTATCTCTAAAGCTCTCAATAGCACACAGCACAAGGTGTCTGCTCTTCTCTAAGATGTGAAGGTGCTGCCTGCAGCCCTCACTTCATTAAAAAAAAAAAGGAAGAAACTACCCCATTTGTAAAACCAGGCTGTAACCAGTGTCGTGGCAAGACTGAGCACAAATCGTGTGTGTGTGTGTGTGTGTGTGTGTGTGTGTGTGTGTGTGTGGCGGGGGGGGAACCTGACTCTTTAGGGGCAAACGTGTATGATCAGATGTCAAACTCTGTCTGAGATAGCTTTGTCTCTCTCTCCCCACCCCTTCCCAGGCCATGCAAATCCCCATTACCTCATTCCATTTGACTCTCCTCCATGGTCTGGGGGCAGGAAGAAGCTGAGTTTGGCCACTAGGACACAGTCCCCCGGGAAACAAAGTAGCTCTGTGATGCTTTCTGACTCCCCACTTTCAGACAACACTGCTTCCACAGCCATGAGACAAAGAAAAATCACGATGCTTCAAAGCTACCAGTTCTAGTCAACTGCTGCCAGTCCAGCAGAAAAGTCTTAGGATAATTTCAACCCATTAACTCCTTCCTGTGACCAGGAGGAGGCAACATGGGGACACTACCCATCGGGACCACTAAGCAGGATTCAAATAGAACCTAATTTGCTGAAATCGGAGCTAAACCTGATATTAATATCATTCAAGTGAAAACAGAAATACGGTGTTTCAAAAATCAACAGCTTCAGTTCAAACTAAAACAATCAAATATCCTCCAGATTAAACCTGAACTGGATTGACGTTTCATTTACTTTCTAATCTTGAAGGCATTCCCACGACAATTTCTCCGTGGCATTGCACAGCCAGTCTCTTTCTTGGCTGCCAGGGCACTGATGACAATCCCTTGGCAGACTGGACAACTAATACAGCTCCAGTCTGCAGACTCGGCCTCCCTGCCAGGTAGTTTAAAAACCATTTACACAGTCCAGTGTGATTTCTGAGTGGTCAGAGAGATGGGTTGTTTGAACCCACTGATCCAAAAACATGTTTTTGTATATTCCTATGCCTCTTATAAATCAGACCCAAAAAGGAAGAATGGATGGATTGCTTGGCCATTTCAAGCAATTATTCTCTCTGGCACGGGTGGAGAGAAAATAGAGTAGTGTCGGCAGAGTTCTCAGCAGTTAGTTTACTGGAGAAAATGTTACATGTCCAATGCCAAGCACATTGATCTGTCTGACTGCTTTGTCTCTGATTGTCTCTATTTTTTCTCCTCTCTCACGTACACACGTACCCTCTTTAATTGCTAGCAGAAAACAGTGCATTCTGCACACTTCACAACATCTGTTCAGGGCTTAATTAATCCAACTCTCACATGGTCTCCATAGCAACGATGCTTAGCAGCCTCAGTCTCTGCATTCGAAAATCTTCCTCTGAGTGAGTGACTCAAAATACGGCCATTAGTGAAATATATTTACATTAATTCTAGTGTCTGTTATAACGAGAACTTCACATGGAGGATGTCTGCATGGAGAAACCACATCATGAGATCACATTCAGTATCACGACAGTAAAATCAACTGCCTCAAACCAGGAACACAAGGTAACACTAATTTTTCAAGGAATTGCCAAAAAAAAAAAAAAATCCCATTACTATCTTTATGTTACAAGAAATTCCTGCACTACCGAAGATTAATGACCACAGTTATCTTGATGGATCATGGTCAGTGTTTCGAGGGCAGTTAGAAGAAACGCAAGTGTTACAAAGAAGCTCATCAGGAGGTGCGCTTCCCAAGCTTCTGGCTGTAAAGACCTGAATTAAAAGCCTATCGTCCTTTGCTAACCCCCGCCAACTTCTTACCCAAATAAGAGCTTGCCGGCAGCAGAGAGGTGAAGCACGGCTTGCCAAGGAAGCCATGAATGCTGCCAAGGGAAATGTCAAGCACATTTCTGAGAGTCTGTTTTAGCTCAGTGGCCTATCCAGATGCTCTCCCTGACGCTGGCTATGTTTGTGTTTATATTTGAAGCTGTTATGTTCGAGACTGTAAAAATAAGCACTGACAACTCCCCAGAAAACCTGCTCAGACATTATACATGGTGTTGGTGTGTTGAGGAGGAGAGGGTGGTGGTAAAGAGAGCATGGAAAAATGAAGCCAGGCATTTACCCCCAAAGGGCATTCCAGTCCATACCAGCTTCTGCGTTACATGTTGCACTTGGTGCTAACAAGAAGTGAACCATTCATCAGAGGTCCAGCTCCTTTCCCCTTCACCTCTTTCTTCTTTGAACAGGCAAACCACCCCAAACCAGCTGAGGAGGGAAAAGGAAAGAATTTAGACAAACTCTTGGGAAAGCAAAAACATATTTTAGTAGACAAATCAGATCTCTTTTATAATATAAAATGGGATGCTCACTTGAGCCTTTGAACAAGGAGAGGAACTTCCCAAAACTTCCTCGGTGACTGTAACTCTGTGGAGCCTGGGGTCATTGGCCCTGGGGACAATTTATCCCTGAATTGCCTGGAGACAGAGCCAAGTAGAGCTAGGAGCCTGTGGGGGTCCCCAGGCCTTCAAATAAAAGAGGGGTCATTGGTGCAGGTGGGGATGGGGGGGGGCTCTTGCAGGAATAAGGGCCAATCCTCTAATGTAACTGTAGGATTCAGTGAAATTAGCAAAGAAAGTATAATCCTATCTTCTCACCAAGTTCATTCTTTGTCTTCAGGCAATTTTCTGTATGAGACTCTTGGCTGCTAGTAGTATCTAAAACTTCTGACTTTCTGTTTTTTAAACAGTTCTATTGGTAGGTGGACAACTAGGATTCAATTAACGGCATGTTGAAGTTTCTCAGCCATGAAGCTTCTACAAAACTACTGAACCATGGTCCCCCTTCAAGTTACTTCACCCAAAACAACATTCAATCATCAACTTGAAGTGATTGCTTTGAACTCATAAGCCAAAGGCAAAGAAATGGAATGGAAACAGGTTCAGGGTTCTAGTTCTAGTGCTGTCGCCTCTTTGATCTCAGATTTCCAAAGACTCTTGTTCATCTACTTATCCTCTCATTCAATAAGTATCATGACACTCTTACTCTGAGCGCAGCATGATGGCAGGCTTTTATCTTGGATGTCTCTCAGGGGAAAGGAAAACAGGCTGTGACAACTGAAGTAATGATGCCCCAGCTAGTCTAGTTCTTGAGCATGCCCAAGCTCGCCTTCTCCCTACCCTACCACCAGCATATGACAACTGCCATCATTTTTAGAGTGGTTACTGCATGGCATTTACTGTACTGGACTTAACTCATTTGGCTCTCACAACAACTCTGCAAGGCATGGCTATTATTATTATTCCCATGTCACAGATAAGCAAACGTGGCTCAGAAGCAGGTTGCAGGATTGGACAGCTCCAAGAGATCCCACTCACACTGGACTCCGTGCGCATGGGTGCTCTGTGAAGCACAACTGCACACAATGTGAGTGGTGCCCCCAGCGGTGTGCAGCCCCGTGGCCCTGGGGGGGGTTCAGTAAGCAGAGCCCAAGTCTGTTTGATTTTTCCGTATCTTTTAACTGCCTCTCTCACACTTGGTGGAGGGAGGTCTGTGAATGAGAGGCCGTCAGGAAAGAAGATGGTGAACTCTTGGTGTTAATCACAAGATCATTCTGGACTCTTCCTTCCATGTGTCCCCTGTACTCCTTATTTTAAATTTTTTTCATTCCCATTATCTACAAAGCCCTAAGTGGTAGATAAGATGGGGTGGGAGGGGTGGCATCAGAGTAGATAAAATAAAGCAGGGGGGCATCCAAGATGGAGGTGTCAGAAAACCCCGAACTCACCTCCCCCCGAACACACGGAAGCTACAGCTGCGTAGGGACCCATGCCCGCGGACAACTCGGGAGCAGCTGCTTCACATGGGCACCCGAGGAGAGAGCCCCGTGGAGGGGGTAGGAGAGGGGGAGACCACCCGCAATGGGAGCCTCGCCCTGAGGGCGAAGGCTCATACCCCACATCAGGCACCCCAACTTTTGACTTGCACCTGAGATGAGCCCCCAAAATATCTGGCTTTGACAACCATCGGGGCTGGGTCCCGGGACCCAAGGGCTGCGGCCTCTGAGATGCGCTCGCCGGGGCTCCCGCGCACTCTCCCGGGCCGCGCAGAAGCCGCGGTGTGAAAAGCGCCAGACTTCGCCCCACTTCGTGTGCAAGAGAGTCATTTGCTGACCTTAAAGCCTCGGCGTGAGGGGCCGGGGCTGTGGGATCCTCTCCTGACGGAGGGCGGGCGGCCCATGCTTCCTTCCGTCAGCGGTGCATCTTCCTCTCCTGCTGCCTCACTCCCAGCACCAGGATCTCCTGGAGGGGAGCTTTCACACACGGTTGGGGCCCCGGTTTTTGCAGCTGCAGCCCACGGGACACCCCTTGATCACCTGGCTCTGGAGGCCAGAGGGGCTTGCGTTCCTGGGTCCCACGGAGCTGTAACAATGGGAGAGAGATCTTGGCAGGTGACCACCCCCAGGGCATGGGACAGAGACTGAAACACCCTCTGTTGGCGTGTCCCGGGACATCAGCCTGAGGGGCAGGCTTCAGGCTCAGCCCACATCTAGGGGCTATGGAGGTGCTTGCAAAGAACTGAGGTTGGGGGACACCATCTTTGTGCTGTCCCTCTGCCTCAGACTAGCTCACTGGTATCTCCCAGAAAGGAGCTTATATACTTGTCTGGAGCCCTGATTTTTGCAACTGCTGCCAGGGGACACCCCCAGATTGTCTGGCTCTGGCAGCCAGCAGGGCTTACACTTGGGCTCACACAAGACTGTATATGTTTGCATACTTTAAAACCTGTGGCCTGAGGGTCTGGCTTCCAATCAGCCCGAATCTAGGTGCTGACTGAGATCCTCCCCTTTGGGACACTGACAGGTCTTGGAACACCCTCAACAACTGGGAGCCACTAAAAATAAAATAGGCTGCTTGGACAATCAAGAGGGTTTGAGAGACAACCAAGAGCCAGGGCAGGGTTGAATGATAAGGTTCATCGCCTACACAAGGCCACTCCTTCAAGGCTGGGAGGGGTGGCTGTTTCATCTAATGCATAGAAACCAACACACAGAGTCAAGCAAAATGAGGAAATAGGAATATATTCCAAACAAAAGAACAAGAGAAAACCTCAGAAAAAAACCTTAATGAAACAGAGATAAGAAAAGAAAGCAGAAGAGCAAAGAGAGTTTTTTTTCCCTCCACTTAAAATTCTACTTGACTCATATAAGTCGTCAGTTCATCCCACAGAAACACCCTGAGGCATCCTTCTGGACCCCTCTGTTCCAATAAGCATCTTCAGGTAGTCCCAGGGTAGTCTTTACTCCTGGTGTCCTGTGGCTTGGGATCAAGCAGGCAGATATCCAGCTGGCCATTGACCAGAAGCCAGTGCTCTATGGTGGAGGGGGGTGTGGAAGGGTGAGGGGATGATGAGGGGGCCATTCCTCCATAGCCTGGCTTTACATGGAACCTGATCAGTTACCGGGTTGGGGGGGTGCGTGTCACAGGGACAGGATTTCTGTGTTTCCCCATAACCTGCACAAGAGTGCTTGAAAGAGGCAAAGGTAGATGGATGTTCTCCCCAGACTCCTGAATCCAGAGGGGAGGAGCTCGTTCTGCAGGACCTCCAAACTCGTGCTCCAGTCTCTCACGTCTTTCTTTTGTGCCTCCGGACTTTTGCTTGGCTTGCCCTCCTTGCTCAGAATGTCTTTTCCCCACTTTCGGACTCTCTGCTTATTCTTCAAGCCTCAGGCATGTTCCGCTTTATGACAACTCCCTCCAGCCCACATATTACTGGCCCCCCACATGCTCTTCCTATGAGCTCCCATAGCAACCTGGACCTCTCCATGTGTGTTCACGTGTTTGTCTCCAACAACCTGCAGGCTTGTTCATCTCTGTTTTGTTCCTAACAGATTCTTTGGTCTTTAGCAAACAGTCAATAAATATTTATTGAATAAATGAGTTAGGTGGAGGTTTAGAGATGCAAATAAGTTGAAAGCTAACCTTATGAAACCAGTCTTATGACCAGCCATCTCCAGGCATTTGACTTCCCTATTCACTATTTCTGGCTGTGCAGGCACAATCTGCCTAAGGACTGGGACCAGGCTGAGCAATTATTAAAAGGTTTCTTAATGATCAGATAACAATTGCTAGCATATGGAGTGATTACTATGCCCTAGGCTCTGTTCTAAGCACACTGCATATATTAATCATTTAATTCTCACGACAATTCTATAAGGTAATCTTCCTTTTTTTATAGATGAGGAAACGGAGACCTGGAGAGGTGAGGTGACACGCCAAGTACACACAGCAAGTGGAAGATCTGACTGCAGAGTCCATCCTCTCAACTGCTATGCCTCTCAATGAGAAAGACAGAGGTGGTTGAACCTTCATAACCTCAGGTTTGATTCTGAGTTTGAAAGGTGGTCCTGGGTCACAGGAAGGAATGCATACTCCTTTATCTGTCATCCCATGATTTAATCATGCTCACCTTCTTCACCTTGAATAACTCTACACACACACACACACCACCACCACCTCTGCAGCAAGGGTTTTTACTCTCTTCTGAATGAACAGGTCTCGAATTGTGAGTGGGCTGGAAAGGGTTGCACGACTCCAGCAATTATGCAGTCCTGATGAAATGCAGAGTAGCTTGGACTGTAAACAAGATGGCACATAAATTCATGCAGCCTAGAAGGGACGGAGCAAAAATGTTGCTTTTTTTCCATAACAAATCCCTAATTGAATGAAAGTTTCCTTTAAGCTCTTCAGTTGTTGGAAGAAGTAGATCCTTTGGGGAGAAACTTATTTTTGATGCTGGGCAATAGAGTGGTCTTCTCTTAAGATTAGTGAATTTCTGGGCCGGCCCTGTGGCTTGGTGGTTGAGTGCGCGCGCTGCGATGCTGGTGGCCCGGGTTCGGATCCCGGGTGCGCATCGAGGCACCACTTCTCCGTTCATCCTGAGGCCGAGTCCCACATACAGCAACTAGAAGGATGTGCAGCTACGACACACAACTATCCACTGGGGCTTTGGGGGGAAAAAGAAAATAAATAAAATCTTTAAAAAAAAAAAAAAAAAAAAGATTAGTGAATTTCTGTTGGAGCCAGAGTGACCTTTATTGAGATCTGAGCTCATTAGTGACGAAAGAGTGAAAAGGAAGAACTTATCAAGAAAGCTTTGAAACTTAGTTACCTTCAGTTGAAAAGTCATAATATTAAATAAGAAAATTATCAAGAGGAACTTATGATATAAGTATGTCAGAAGATGCTAAGGCTCCCCCAGGGTGGCTACATGAAGACACCGAGTTTGCAGAGCTTGAAAATCTACTGAGCACACATATTTTTAAAGAACTCCATGGGGATTTTGAACATCTTTACATAATTTCACATATGGATATTTCCATATCCACTGTCAGGAAAAAAGGGAAGATATTTATGGTTAACGGAACAAGGATTTAGAATGAAATATCTATATGTTTTTTATTCAAGGGATATAGGAATCTGGAATAGACTTTACTGGGGAGAAAGAATATAGGTTTTTTTCTCTAGATGTCTTTAGGAATGGAAAATGCATCTTATAATTTAGGAGTTCAGCTTGGAGGTGACTGACTAAAATTTTAATAAGTTATATCCATTCTGTAAAGATTAGTCTCTGAATTTGTTACTATGATTGTGACCCAAATGGCCAGAGGCAGCAAGACCCAGAAAAAGAGTGCCCCCAAAAAGGCTTTTTTACAACTAAGATTTGACTTGCCTAAGTGAAAACAAAGTAGCTATTCAACTGGCAACTTTAAGTAGGAAAAACAAACAGATGATGGAATCTGGGTGAATTTTTCCCCTTCCTATCACAGCTCCCTCCTGCTAAGTGTTGTAATTCTGGGTGAATTTAGTACTCCTCCTTTATTTTCACTTTTAATAAGGGGAGATTGTGTTTGTATGTGAAATGTGTCTTTTACTATGGTCCTACACAGTATTAAAATTCCAGAGTAAAATAGTGAGGTAAAAGATATTTATTGACACTGACAAAACATGTACAAATATTTCTGAAGAACAAGCTGACAACATTTCCTGGTTTATTTTCTCAGAGACCTGTATTACTCTGAAGGCAGGAAGCAAGCTTCGCTGAGAGCACAGTTTTTGTCCTTCAAGAACTGCGTGCAGGGATGCTCCCAGGGAGAGGTGGTTGTTGGTGCTCCCAGGGCCAGCAGAGAAGGGGCCAGCTGAGAGAAGCGAGGGCATCACCGGAGCGTCACTGTTTACATCAAGATTGACTGGTGGGGCTCTGCCTCTGGGCCGTGTGGAATGATGCTGAACTGGGGCTTGAAAGCCAACCAGCATTAGGACCAAGAAAGTGCGTCTACAAAGCAGGTGGCCCGGGTCTAAGAGTCCAGACTGTGTCCACAGCAGAGTGGCCACCCAGTCAGAACAGGTGTCCAGATAGGCCATGTTGGCTGCATGGTGACTGGGACAGATCACCACTGGCAGCGACCCCTTTAATGTCCGAAAGAGAAATTAGCACATTAAAAAACTAGCCAAGAAAAGGCCTTTCTGGCGTCCTCACCTTTTGGGGCACTGAGGCCACTTTCTGTAATCAGCTACTGTGATTGCAAAAGTTTGCCCATCATCAACCTCACTCTTTGCATCCAAATTGCTTCATCTAGATCTTAAAAGGCATTTCAAAAACCAGGTGATTCATAGAAAACACAAGATGGAATTTTACTCTAGAGTCATACCAACTTTCAAAATATTTCTGCTTATTCAAGTTAATTTCTCCTCCAGAAATCAGAAACTAGGTGTGATAAGTTAACGATTATACAAACAGAGCTGCTTTCAATAATTTAACTATCAGACTCAAGCCCCCAAAATGAACTTGCATGAAGTTCATTTCACGCAAGAATATTAAATATTACTCTTAAAGCAGTTTGGACACAGACAGTCACACACACATCAAGAAAGGAAAAAAATTTCTCCCCAAAATGCCAGTGTTTTGTTTTGTTTGGAAAAATAACAACACCACAATTAGAGGTAAACAATATTTTCTTCGGCTCTGTCCCCAGTTTCCCCGTCTTGTCTGGTTGCTGTCTGTAGACTCAGCTTCGCTTCTGCTATAAACGTCTGCAGCTGGGGGCCGTGTGGCTCTGAGTCGTGGGGGGGTGGGGACTCCAGCTGGGAGATGTCCACATCTGCAACAGACAGACAGCACAGGTCACAGGAGAGTCAGCATGAGACCACAAGGCAGGTGACACTACGACTCAGTCAGAGCTAAGGCTGGGAGATGCAGTGCCCGAGTCAGCCACAGAGAGAACAGTGGAGTCCAGGAAGAAAGGAACCAAGTGGATATCTAATGATTTAATCAATTTCATTAAGATGCGTTTGGTTGTGTGTACAAATGTCTCCTGTGGCTAAAAATAACCTTTATAAAATACTCCTATACAAAAGGAGTGTACAAAAAACCTATACAATATACTTTGATTTGACACTTCAAGTGTCAAATGAAAACAGACTTGTGACCATTCGTGGGCTGTTGAACCACTGTTACTGCTGAGAAAGGGGTGCCTAGTGATTTTTAAAAATGGGTTCAAGTTCTTAGAAATACAGTATATACTCCAGCTTTGTGCAATAAACTATGTTTGCATCTGCACAGCATCTTCCTTCAGAATATCTCAAAGTCAAGAACTGATCTCAAGACTCAAATAACATATCTGGGATTTTATTGATGTGGGCCAGGGGTGGGGAGAAAGGCATTGAAGGATGGAGACCCCCCAGCCTCACCATTATGCAAATCCGTTAACTCTGCACAAGCCACCGAGCAAGAGTAGCCAGGTTCCTAGGGAAATTGGTCCAATATCAACTATGCCTGGGTTTGTTTTTTTCTGGTTACCTAGCAACAGCAGGGCATAATCTATTCTCTCTTTTTCTGGTAAAACCCTTTAATATATGGTTTAGAGGGAAGGCAAGGGGGAGTTTGATCTGAAGAAGAGAAAGTCTCCTGCTGCAAACCATTTTCTCTGCACTTGTTTAACTGCTGCCCTCCCCAAGGCTCGGTTCTGTGGCACAATTACAAATAACCAGCTTCGGTCTTCAGAGCAAAAAGCAGAGTCTGCGTGGAAACCCAGGTGAGGAAGATGCACAGCCCTGAGGCCCACCTGCTCTCTCTTCAGTTACAAGAGGTCATTGTAAGCCTTGCCACATTTTACTCAAAGCCTCTATTCTTTAGATGGAGACACACAGAACTGCTGGCATTCGAATGACAAAAATGCTTGTGACTTCTGCCCTCCTGACAAGGACCTTTGGTTGTTAGAGAAGGCAGGAAGCGAGGCCTGGCAGGAATGAAGAGCAAAACGTCCTCACAGGCTCCGTCCTCAAGACGAGGCACGCTTTGCTACACCTCGTCTCATCACTTCTTCTACCAGGAGGCCGGGCCGATGGCAGAGGGGCAGCCAGGGCCAAGCAAGTAGACGCAGGGCACCTGGAGAAGGTGTGTCACCTGGAGGAGCTGACCTGTGCCCCTGAAGCTGAGGAGAACCCCTGGCGGGGGGAGGGAAAGAGGAGGTGAGACGGTGAGGCCGCCCTTCACAGCTCTGCTCAAAGGTTTAGGCTGTCCCTAACTCTAGATGCCAATGGGGCACAAAGGAAATAATCCATTTACACTGGGGTGACTTGATTCTACTGACCCCGCGTCCAAATCCTGTACCTCAGATACTGAGAACTCGCTACCCACTGAAAACGTATCCAGAGAAGATACCTCCACCATCCCCAGGAATCGAGTCCTTCTCTGGGCACAGGAGCTGCTCCAGGTCTTCGACAGGCATCATCTCTTTAAGCCTCAAAATGTTGTAACCCACAGTCTACAGATTGGGAAACTGAGACTCAGGCTCATTCAATTCCTCGCCCATCATCGTGCAGCTAGAAAGTGATCTGGATTTGAACTCAGAGGACCGCGGCCACGTGCTCATCTGCTCAAGAGGCTCACAATTCCCATTTCTCATTGGGCTGGAAATGGCTCGACCGTCTTTGCTGAGTCAAGAGGCCCTGGATGTTTCATACCTATCCTCGCTACATTTTGAAGAGTCACTTACCAAAAAAAAAGAAAGACATTTCAAGCTCCTCAAAACTGACACAGCAACTTTTATAAAGTTAAGAACCTCCCTCATTTAATCAGGTCAACACAAAAACCCCCAGGCAATGATTTTACTGTCAGCACAGCACAAATGCATTAGGATGCTCTCAATCCTCCTGGACCACACTGGGAGACAAAGCACGCCTGTCTGCAGTCACAACACACTTCACACTTCCAACTCCTTTCTCAGCCATTGAATGGATAAAGCCATTTCAACTCTAAAAACAAATATTCCCAGTTAAACTACTGATGTTTAATATTACACAACCTGAAAAAAACACACCTCAAAACTTCCATCCTGCAGATGCTGGCAGACTGGAGAACAGTTCACCTGAGACACTGCAGTGCTGCCTCCTAGCCAGCAGATGGGCCAGCCAGGGCACAGAATTACTACATGGAGAACGAGTACGTGGTTATCCGCCATCCATTGAATGAGGCGGTTGGGAGGTGATTGCTGACAAATGTGACAATGCCAGGCACAATGGAAGCCCTTAATCTAAGTTTCCTTCCTCTGGGATGTGGAACATGTAGCTAAGAATTCAAAATACTGGTGAGTGTAGGTATTTGGGAAGACCCCTTAATGGTTTCAAGTGAAGACTTGTTCAAAAAGAGCCAAAGAACCAAACGTATATCAGAAAGAATACTTTTATCTTAAGTTAAATTATAGACTCTAGTTCAGGAAGACAGAGAACCAAGAATGAATGGGAGGGGGGTTAATTTGTGTGTGTGTGTGTGTGAGTGTGTGTGTGTAGGGGAGTACAGAGGTTTAATCAGAACTTTTTAAAATAAGAATAAAAATACAGGAGGAAAACATCTGTAGATGAGAGCTTGCTGGACCCTACAGGGAATGGCCCACGATGTAATCCCAGATGTATGGAGAGAGGTGGCTGTGGCTGTGTGTCACCTGGAGGGGAACTCAATTTCCTTCTCCATGTTCCTGCTTGGTTTCTACCTGAACTATTTAGGCAAGGTCAGACAGTCTGTCTTTGAAATTAGAAACTGTTTCGTGATTTCTGATTTTACTACTCTGTTTCAACCCTGAAAGAACTCCAGCACAGCAATTGTATATTTCTCAAGGTCAGCCACCTTTTTCCACACTTTTTACCCTAGAGAGTATGATCATCATATTGAACCCTAAACTGAAAAAACATTTGTTAAAATAAAACCTCACTGATTCAGAAAGCAGAATTCTTGGGGAGTAAAATTAATCATCTGATTTTATTTGCAATCAAAATGCCTGTAAATAGCTGGACATAAAAATAGAATACCTCATTTTTTTAATAAGCAAAGAAATATTAATACAATCATAATTTGGTCAACTAAAAACCAAATGCTATTATAACGAAACAAAACTTCAAACTACAAAGAACTTTTCAATATTGTGTGTCAATGCGACTTTCCCTCTTACTTGACATGAAAGAAATAATTTGATCCTTACCATACCTCTGGAAACGAAACAAAGTGAGCATTATTAACCTTAAAATAAATACAAATAAGCTGAAACACATAAAAGCCCAAAAGTCGGGCTAAACCAAGTAGAGAATAGAATCTTGGCGCAGGTTTCTTTCTATTTAACTGAACTTTTATTCACACCCTAAAACTTCATCCTTCACAAGAAGTTTCCTTAGACACACCAGGGGGTCTAAGTCTGTCACCTAAGGAAGTTTTAAATGGCTAGTGCTATCCCCTTTCCCTTGTGAATTTGGGGCAGAAAACAGCCATGCCACCAAGGGACACTCACTCACGAGGCACTAACATCCAGAGACAGTTCCGAATCTCCCTGTTTTTACTCCTTAATTGCAACCTCTTGGTTGACATTTGCATTTATCATTTTCACACTTTTCTCTGCTCACCTGCTGTTGGAATTTCAGACTATCAGGGAAGAGAATCGGGGACTGGGGTGACAACTATAGAAATCAGCTCCTGAAGAGCTGACACCAGCAGGAAGTAATATCAGCCTTCCCTCCATCATCTCACCATCATTCTTCTTCTTCTGAGCCAAACAGATAATTGGTTGTTTTCAAGACCACAGTATAAAAGTGTAAAATGCAACCACGTGCCATATTAAAAATGAATAAAATACCTCCTAAACTGAGAAGTGAATGAAATCTTTTAAACCAAAAGGTAAAAATGTAACCTTGGGCAAGTCATTTCCCCTCTCTGGGCTTCAGCTGATGAGGGATTGAACTGAAATCCTCCTTCAGGCCGTTTAAGCTTCTGATACAGCATGTGAGTTTTTACATCTGTGTTTTGGCTCAGCGATTCACCAAACAATCTGCTAGAGGTGCAACGAATGAATGCATTTTCCAACTGCTTTATACTCAAGAAATGCGAACTTATTAACTTAAGTTGCATTTACAAGTGTTTTTAGGGTAATTTCCAGACATATGTCCCACTCCTCTACCTTCAATCTTCCCGACAACACATATTTGAGTTGCGCCCACACAAGCCTCAAAGGAGAGTATTTGGAGAGTTACCCAGTGAGTGGAAGATAACGTCCACAGTCAAAATCTGCACTTGACCCCCGCTTCTATGAACAGCAAACTTGAGAGGGACTTGTGATAAAGAACAGGTTTGTAAGAAGTGGAAAAAGTTTGTCCATCATTTTAAAATATTTAATTAATGTAGTCTTTGCCTTCTTCTGGATTTTCTGAATAGAAAAGCATTTTAAATCCTATAATTTGCAAACAAAAGCTTTATTTAACTTTAAAAGCACCAGTATAACTTTCCTCAACCTTTCAAGTCTGGATTTATCTCAACAGTGTCCCAATGGCCAGGCACCACAGCCCGGTGCTACGAAACCACGTTGAGTCCACTGTTGGGATCATTGATGACGCCTTGTTCAGGCCTCTCCGTGGCTTATGCCATTCCACTCTCCCCAACAAACTCACAAAACAGAGCCTCGTGTCTTCGGGGTCTTGGCTCTGGTTCTTGTTTATTTTAGCCAAGTGTTCTGACATTACTTCTTATTACAAGATCCCTTGTGTATGTTCCTAAAATCAAAATTCACACTATACTAGAATAACTCTACCTCAAAAAAATTTTGTCATTAATATTCCAAGT